GGATCAGACAGAAAATTGGATTGGTATAAGACAGAACAGAATATAAAAGACATTGAAACGTGTAATTTAAAGATAACTTGTGTTTGACGTTGTCTTTTTTTGTTTTGCAGTTGAAACAGTGTATGGTGCAGAAGTGATGACATTGTCCTCACGCCACCTCTTCAGTCTCCGTCTCCTCCCATCACAAGCATTCAATGGAAACATGGAGAGGACATCATTGCAGAGTGGTATGATATGGAAATGAGACAAATTGTCTTAAGTTCAAAGTAATTTCACTTACACTAAATAAGTTTATCTACACCTGAAAACACAACAAGAACCTTAATCCAAGTGAAGTTTTTAGTTTGTTTTGTTTGAAGGTATTTATAATTAGACCCCTACTTTGTGCTGAATGAATGGATGACATTCTATAAAAGGCTTTCATGGGCAGACCATTAGAATAAGAGGGGGAGATGCATCCATTTAAGTCCATTTTTTAAGTCCAGGTGCTGCTTTCATTTGTTTCCACTTATCACGGTGTACATTCATTATGTTTCAAATTATTTTACTCAGCATGTTTAGCGACCCTAAAGTTTATTTTATTTAATGTTTGATGATTATAGTCGCTGCAAGCTGAATCTTTTGACCGGCGCTGACAATCACAGGACTGACTAAAACCGACAGTGGAATCTGCAAACCTGAGATCAACAACAAATACCCGACTCAACTCATCTCATCGTCATCTGTGAGTGACTGAACTTTAAATTAATTTTGGTCAGTAAAGAAGTTTTTAGATTTTCAGACTGAGAGCAACAAGTCTGTTTTCTTTGTTCTTTGTTGTATCAGCTCATGTCCCTAAACCCTCCGTCTCCAAATCATGTAACACTGAGATGACCGCCTGTAATCTGACCTGTGAAGCAACACGATAGAATCAGAACCCGTCGACTGTAATGGCTTCTAGATGAAGCAGAGGACCTTCAGCACAGGTGTTGACCATAACAAAGGTATGAAAAACCAACAACACTCCAGTCAGCCTGAGCCGATGAGGGATCACTCCAAATCCATCATTCATGACCTTTTTTAACTATTCAGTTTTATGTCCTGAAAATCTGTTTCATGATTATCTTTCACTCAATTTCTAGGAGATGAAGGAGCAGAGTTTACCGTTGTATATTTGTCAACCCAGTCAACAAACAAAACCAGTGATATCATGACAAACCCCTTACTCAAAGGTGAGCTGCCACACCAACAAATATCAACCTCATTTACACCGTTTATATGGTTTTATAGCTTTTTTAAACATCACTCTGCATTATCTAACAGCATACACAACATTTCATGTTTATTTATTCATTCTTCTTTTTTAGCAGAAATGTCCACTTGGTAAGAAACCGCTGGCTAACAGCAGCGGCAGTAGGGGTTCTTGGGTTAATTGGGGTTGCAGCATATCTCATCACAAATGCAGAACTGGTAAGAAGCCAGATTATATTGTGTGTATTTCAAATATTTTCAGTAATGTTGTATTCTCTCGTCAGTTATTGACATCCGTCTTTATTTAAGGAGTTCCAGTGGATTCTTTCTGCTTTCACTTCATAAAATAGGCGGGAAAACGCTTAACAAACATCTTTAGTAATGAATAATGATGGATTTTATATTTGTTTATCTTGAATACAGGAACAGAGATAACCAACAAGATATTCAATCTGTTATCCACATGAATCATTTTATTTTCTTCTCAGCTGTGCTCTGTGAAATAAAATATATATATATATCACATACAAACATAGTAGCAGTATACCAGTCTGTGAAGACAGTCGGAATGAGATTTATCCAATACATGAGGAGATACAAGAAATAAGTCCAAGACGAGTCGACAGTGACACAAAATTCAAAGTCTCCTTTTTAGATCTTTTTATTCTTAGCTTTAAAAAAACATCATTTATACATCATTGTAAAATGCAGATGAACTATTTGTGGTTATTAACTGATGAACTAGGTGATGTGTTACTACAATACTTTGACTTGTAACAGGATTTCTTTGATGAATTGTTTGAACAGAAGTAAAGTGATATCATGTTCAATGATTCCTTTGTGTTTTATTTGATAGGTTCATATAAATCGTACCCACCAAGGAAGAAGACAACAACGTTATGGTGAGTCAAATGTGAAAGATATTAAAAACTGTGACAGTCGGATCTTTGAACATTTCTACTACTACAACCTGCATTTTTGAGAGATGTTTTCTTACATTATTTTGTATTTGTTGTTTCAGAGGTCCATGTACCACCAACCACTCAGGACTCAGATTCTCTCAGCAATGGATCTGGTGTGTAAACGTTGTTTAACAAAATGTATAAGGTTTTAAAACTGTTGTAGAAAGAGACGCATAGGAACAGAAAAGCTTTGTTTATCCTTTAAACTAGAGCTTTGAACTAGAGCTTTCTGTCACGGAGAAATTGTCTTTATCATTTATTTTATTTAAATTGTTTTAACAGTGATCCCAGAGGAGCAAAGGGCATCCAACGAGCCTTCAGATTCTATTCCGCTCCAAAGTGTCTGCAATGGAGCTGGTGAGTGAAATAATACTAAAGATAAAGATAAACTTTATTGATCCCCGTGGGGGAAATTTGTGCATTACAGCAGCTCCAGAAAACAGGAGATGGAATATACTTATAAAAAATAAAAATAGAAGTTAAAAACAGATCAAACATATTACATCATTTAAAAAAAAAATACAATAATGTAAAGAAATACAATAATGTACTATAGATAATACTGAATATAAGAACAGTACCTCAGTATATAGTTCAGGTACCTGAACTCTAGTATTTCCTCTAGAGGTTTTGGGGTTGCAGCATATCTCATTGACAAACGCAGAACTGGTAAGAAGCCAGATTATATTGTGTGTATTTCAAATATTTTCAGTAATGTTGTATTTCTCTCGTCAGTTATGTGACATCCGTCTTTATTTAAGGAGTTCCAGTGGATTCTTTCTGCTTTCACTTCATAAAATAGGCGGGAAAACGCTTAACAAACATCTTTAGTAATGAATAATGATGGATTTATATTTGTTTATCTTGAATACAGGAACAGAGATAACCAACAAGATATTCAATCTGTTATCCACATGAATCATTTTATTTTCTTCTCAGCTGTGCTCTGTGAAATATAAATATATATATATATATATATCACATACAAACATAGTAGCAGTATACCAGTCTGTGAAGACAGTCGGAATGAGATTTGATCCAATACATGAGGAGATACAAGAAATAAGTCCAAGACGAGTCGACAGTGACACAAAATTCAAAGTCTCCTTTTTAGATCTTTTTATTCTTAGCTTTAAAAAAACATCATTTATACATCATTGTAAAATGCAGATGAACTATTTGTGGTTATTAACTGGTGAACTAGGTGATGGTGTTACTACAATACTTTTGACTTGTAACAGGATTTCTTTGATGAATTGTTTGAACAGAAGTAAAGTGATATCATGTTCAATGATTCCTTTGTGATTTATTTGATAGGTTCATATTCCGTACCCACCAAGGAAGAAGACAACAACGTTATAGGTGAGTCAAATGTGAAAGATATTAAAAACTGTGACAGTCGGATCTTTGAACATTTCTACTACTACAACCTGCATTTTGTGAGAGATGTTTTCTTACATTTATTTTGTATTTGTTGTTTCAGAGGTCCATGTACCACCAACCACTCAGGACTCAGATTCTCTCTGCAATGGATCTGGTGTGTAAACGTTGTTTAACAAAATGTATAAGGTTTTAAAACTGTTGTAGAAAGAGACGCATAGGAACAGAAAAGCTTTGTTTATCCTTTAAACTAGAGCTTTGAACTAGAGCTTTCTGTCACGGAGAAATTGTCTTTATCATTTATTTTATTTAAATTGTTTTCAACAGTGATCCCAGAGGAGCAAAGGGCATCCAACGAGCCTTCAGATTCTATTCCGCTCCAAAGTATCTGCAATGGAGCTGGTGAGTGAAATAATACTATAAAGATAAAGATAAACTTTATTGATCCCCCGTGGGGGAAATTTGTGCATTACAGCAGCTCCAGAAAACAGGGGATGGGAATATACTTATAAAAAATAAAAATAGAAGTTAAAAACAGATCAAACATATTTACATCATTTAAATAAAAAAATACAATAATGTACTATAGATAATACTGAATATAAGAACAGTACCTCAGTATATAGTTCAGGTACCTGAACTCTAGTATTTCCTCTAGAGGTTCTTGGGGTTGCAGCATATCTCATTGACAAACGCAGAACTGGTAAGAAGCCAGATTATATTGTGTGTATTTCAAATATTTTCAGTAATGTTGTATTTCTCTCATCAGTTATGTGACATCCGTCTTTATTTAAGGAGTTCCAGTGGATTCTTTCTGCTTTCACTTCATAAAATAGGCGGGAAAACGCTTAACAAACATCTTTAGTAATGAATAATGATGGATTTATATTTGTTTATCTTGAATACAGGAACAGAGATAACCAACAAGATATTCAATCTGTTATCCACATGAATCATTTTATTTTCTTCTCAGCTGTGCTCTGTGAAATATAAATATATATATATATCACATACAAACATAGTAGCAGTATACCAGTCTGTGAAGACAGTCGGAATGAGATTTGATCCAATACATGAGGAGATACAAGAAATAAGTCCAAGACGAGTCGACAGTGACACAAAATTCAAAGTCTCCTTTTTAGATCTTTTTATTCTTAGCTTTAAAAAAACATCATTTATACATCATTGTAAAATGCAGATGAACTATTTGTGGTTATTAACTGGTGAACTAGGTGATGGTGTTACTACAATACTTTTGACTTATAACAGGATTTCTTTGATGAATTGTTTGAACAGAAGTAAAGTGATATCATGTTCAATGATTCCTTTGTGATTTATTTGATAGGTTCATATAAATCCGTACCCACCGAGGAAGAAGACAACAACGTTATAGGTGAGTCAAATGTGAAAGATATTAAAAACTGTGACAGTCAGATCTTTGAACATTTCTACTACTACAACCTGCATTTTGTGAGAGATGTTTTCTTACATTTATTTTGTATTTGTTGTTTCAGAGGTCCATGTACCACCAACCACTCAGGACTCAGATTCTCTCTGCAATGGATCTGGTGTGTAAACGTTGTTTAACAAAATGTATAAGGTTTTAAAACTGTTGTAGAAAGAGACGCATAGGAACAGAAAAGCTTTGTTTATCCTTTAAACTAGAGCTTTGAACTAGAGCTTTCTGTCACAGAGAAATTGTCTTTATCATTTATTTTATTTAAATTGTTTTTAACAGTGATCCCAGAGGAGCAAAGGGCATCCAACGAGCCTTCAGATTCTATTCCGCTCCAAAGTATCTGCAATGGAGCTGGTGAGTGAAATAATACTATAGATAATACTGAATATAAGAACAGTACCTCAGTATATATTTCAGGTACCTGAACTCTAGTATTTCCTCTAGAGCTACAGTTACTCCTCACACGTATTTGATTGTTGTCTCAACTCAAAGGAAAGGCATCAGAGATTTCATCCAACAATGACCTGACGACTTCTACATCCCCAGAGGCCGGCAAGGAAGCTGGTGAGATAAATCACATCTAATAGGATAAAACACTGTCTTGATATTGTATCCATATAAAATGAACATGTTTTATGTTGTATCAGATATCACATCGGAGATGGGTCCAGAATCCCCCAGGATTCAATCACTCCAGAGACCGGCAAGGAAACTGGTGTGTTAAACTGTATTTTAACTTATAGGATCAAACGAGTCAAACCATTTCTCCTTAAAATTCAAATACTTCTATGTATCAATGAACAGAGATCACATCTGATGTGGTTGAGAAGTCTGACGAGAACTCAACGACTCCTGCTTCCCCGCCAGCAGCCAGGAAACAGGCGAGTCCAATTTAAACACACTCCATGTCCGATCAACATACTATTTTTTCTTACTCTTATCTTAGGGTATATTTTAAGATTATGTTTGTATTTATATCAAATGTGTTCCCCACTTAATTAATTTAGTTTTTGCAACAACCAACTTGATTCCATTTTTATAGGACTTCAGCACAGAAACAGCATCAGCAGCTTTACATTCACATTTTTCAAAATGAAGCCAAGAGCAAGGTGTATTTACTCTTGCACACACAGCAAATTTATGAACAAATGAAAAATAACATACATTTTTAGTATTATAATATATAATTATGTGTAATTATAATAATTACTTGGGCGGCCCGCCTAAGTCTGTCTTCATCTTGCTTATAATAATTGTAAATACATAGTACTTTTATCTTTATTTGTATTTATTCCTATATATTTTTATTTTCCTGTTGTCTTTTACTGCTGCAGCACTTGAATTTCCCCACTGCGGATCAATAAAGGATTATATTATCTTATCATGTATGTGTAGGAAACACTGAGTTTAACACTATGTCGTACATAACCCCTAAAATAAGCTTTATTTGATCTATAATCAATAAAATAGAATAAAAACAACCCTGTGTCTCTATCATCTGATAATCCTACGTTACAGTATTATTTGTCTGTTTGTATTTACATACATCACTAGAAAGCTGGATTTATTTAACAGCTGTGTTGGAGTCCCATGTTGGATACATTTGGCACATTTAAATAAGAACTAACTAACATCGGGCATTTAGGTTTTTATTTGGTGTGATCTCTATTTAGTTTAAAGCACAAACGAGAGATGTATGAAAAGAGAAAGAGACCAGTGTTTACTGCATCTGTTCAGTTTTTTTATTGAGGTTAGAAGAAAAAAATCAGACTGTTCTGCCTTTAGATGTGATTTTTTTTTTTTTCATCCTTTGACAGGTGACCTGGCAACGAAGCCACCCGACCAAGAACAAACCAACCAAGAGCCACCAGCAGCTGAACAGGAAGCAGATGATGCAGGAGATCTCGACGAACACTAAAGTATTTTCAGTTCTTTTGTTCTGTAACTAAAATAATAAGAGTCTGCTCTATGTCAAGATGTTACAGTCAAGACGTGTGAATGTGTAGACAGATGACTACTCCTGCAAGACCAAGTTTCAGGATGTTCTTTTTATCTCTGATGTTTCATTAGTACTTCATGCAGTGTGTCTGTAAAGTCTTCCTGTTCAGGGATCACAACGATGAAGGAGGGACATGTAAACAAATAGCTGCTGTTTGGTCACACCTTCAACATTTCAAAGTCACTTTATGTGTTTCAGGAGCACAGAGTCATAGGAGTGTCCTGCTGCTCTAGTCCAGTGCAACATGATTGTAAGAGTGTGGTCAAAATGTAGTTATCAGATGTAGGGTAGTTGTTCATATGAAGAAGGCAAAGGGTGACACGAAGTACTTTGAAAGGTCTTAGAACACATCAGCCACTGTTTCAAGACAAACACATTCAATAAGTGACCTTTGTGTTGAGCTGAAACATCAAGTTATTTATAAATCTTACACACTTCCACTTCTTCCTCTTTTGGGATAAAAAAGACTTGTGCTCCTTCTAACGCAAACCTCACAGGCAGTGATCTGCTCTTTATGCAAACTGACTCGTTCAAATATCAACATCATGCAGGGCTTTCTGACAGCTGTTTTTAACATGATGAGTGAATATATTTTCTTCTTTTAGTAGTTTATGGGACGTTAGCCCTCTGTACATAGACCTCACGAGTCACGACATAACTGCTAGGCTATCAGTAGCATAATCTTACAACAGATTATCATCAGCAAAAAACATCTGCAGGTTTTATTCCAACTGATCTGACTCCTGAAGTTACTCATTTTAAATCATCCTCAGTGAGTGTTTTGGTCAGATTGTGGCTGAAACAAAGAAAAGGGACTGTTTTGATATCTTTGTGATTCCTTTAAATTTTGATATCACCACCAAACCTCAACATTTCATAGCATTTATTAACTGCCTTTTTACAATGTAGAACATGAATTATTACTTGTTTTTTGTAGCAACAGAAACAAGCTCCAGGTGCTTCGTCCCTTAAAGTGACTGTTTCTAAACTTGAATGGTGCAAAAAAGAACTGAGACAAACAATCAGCCTCCTCCGAGGCCGCAGTGTAAATCAGATCCCTGTTGCAACTTGAATATTTATCAGGTCTTAGTCAATGTTTTATTTTGCACCAAAGGCCAACACCTTAAGTCACTTTGAAAAGCCAAAGCCCTTTTGAATCTTTAGTATGTATCTGCAGCATTTGTCATTTAAACTTCAGAAAAACAAAACAAAAACAGATTTTCAAAAGTCTTAAATAGCATCTATTTTTCCAACCGCAGGAACATTATTATTGGCAGAGTATTCCAGAGTTTGTTGCACTTACAGGCATTTAATAATGTAAAAAATATATATATATTTATGAGGATTGTTTTTAGATTTTTTAAGGTAAACACTTTTTAGATGCTAGCATGCCAAAAAGAAGAATTGTATATTTTTGAGGTAAAGAAATTAAATATCTGTGTTCCACGAGGGAGGCATTTTAGTCGCCACAACAGCGTGACATATTTTCATAAAGGGAAGAAGACAACCTATTTAAATTATAAAAGATCATTCATGTATTTTCTGCTTCCAAAAAATGTATTGCAAAGTGAAAACATGCTACCCCCAGCTGTATTTCCCCCACAGTATTTATCTTCTATCTGCTGCTGTAGTTTCACTGTTGACCACTAGAGGGCATCATACAGCTACTATGAAAAAACTGTCAGTTCTTTTTTATGGACTGCTGGTAAAGATGGTCGACACACTGAATGTTTAATGTTTCCTTTTTTTAATCCCTTCATTAACATGAATCAGTTTGGTGTTTTTCTACCACACCTGCTTTAAATTAGTGAAACAGAAAAATCATGGAAACGATTGTTCAATCTCTCATCTCTCATCAACTGGAAAGAAATACTTCCTATGTTTTTCTATGATGTAGAAGTCTACTAACGCAGTTAATAATAATGTGCCATCTTTATAGACAGTCTATAAGGCAATTCCATGAATTGAATGTAAATAGTTTTTTTTTAATGTTTTTAGCTACTGAGGTTTCATTGGTAGAATGAGGATTGTTTGCTTTTCTCTTTTCTTTAAATTATGATCCTGTCTTGTATATATTGAGTTAGCATATTTAAGTCTTTGTAGATGGTTACTAATTTATGTTTGAGATCTGTTACAATGTGATCTGTTACAATGTGTCCCAAGTCCAAACTGAACACTATTTCTATTCAGTATGTTTTAAATACTGTTTTTCAACGATTTAGCAATAAAAACACGTCACCACTTTACAATAACATGTGCAACGCCAGGCTTCCAGAAAGTACTCTAACAGAGCGATGGATTCATCATGTTTGTTTTTAACACTTTTTAAATTTATTATTTCCCCCACATGAGCAGCTTCTGCAGCTTCTTTGTGACCTTTTCTTTGTCAAGAACACTCCAAATTAAACCCTTTTTAAAACGGCTGCAGACTTAATTGAGGTGACGTTTTTAGATTCTTGAACAAACTTTGCAGAAAACCTGTGCTGTATGGATTTGGGACTTGGAGAATAATGTGTGTGATCTAAAGTGTAACATTACTTGAAAACAACACTTTGGTTTCAGATAAAGCACAAAGCGTGTGGTTGATTTGTTGCCATAGCTGAGATTATATCACGACTGAAGTGACACCACACCTACAGGTGCCTCGTGTTATCAAACTGTGACTAAGTACAGTGTCATATATCAGCATGAAGGTGTGGTCTGAAGGTTTCATGCTGCAGCTACAGTCGTGTTTGTTTGCACTGAAACTCTGAGAAATCAATTATCAGTATCTCAAGTGTTGTAGATTGTTTGAAAGACTGAATGTGCAAGTTGTTTGTTAAAACCAGATATTTCTTGCTTTGTATTACATTCCAAACAGCTAGATTTATTTTCATGAATAAATCAAAATTGAGATCAAAAGAGGAAATGTGTCTTATTCATTTGCAATTGTTTGTTCTTTATTTGTGGCAATGTTGTTTCCTGAATGCTAAAACTTTTCACTTGTGCAGCAAAGAAATATTTAAGCTACAAGCACTTCTTTTTTTATTATATTTTTTTGTCATCTAGAAGCATAAGTATGATTTCAACTCCCAACTAGATTTCTGAGTTTGATTTCTTTATGATTTAATATATAGTATCACTGTTCACTCTTCAGTATTGTTTACAACTTATTTGTAACTCTGACTGTAGCCGCCTGTTACGTCCGTGTTGAAAAACCCATGTCTAAGCTGCTATTGAATCCTGCGGACAAAGAAACGCCCCCGAGGTGAACGATGATAAATGTAACACTCAAGATTAAAGCTCGTTTCATAACACTCCTTATATGACACTTTAAAAAAGATCAAATAAAAGCCCTCGGTCTGCAGGATTCACAGCTCCCTGGAGTCACAGACGTCCCTTGGGATGTTGAGTTTAACAGTCCATGATGCCATTGTGTTGCACAGTTAAAGTTGAATTGCAGAAGTATCATATTTGTAAAATCATGAGAACAAAGACAATAAAATTATTAAGATTTATGGGTGCAATAATGCTTGGTTCTTGTGTTAATGAAACCACGAGAAGGTTCTGTTTTGGGGAATTTAGCCTTGAATAGAAAGGTCATCTGTCATTGCTTAAAAGAAGAATTTGTCCATTGTGGACCTTTTCAGCTTCCTTAGAGATACTCATTTAAGAGTGTCTTACTATGTTGAGAGTAATTAATCAGTATTTATTTCGAGAGTTTCTTTTATTTTAAAGTCATTTTATGTTTTTAATTATTTTAGATGGGGATTGAGATATAAGGTCTTTATTTTTAGTGAGCCTTTCATTATCTTGGGAAACAAAGTTTTGATTTTTGGAAACAATTTGTAGCCTATAATACTACAGATAATTGAGAGACCATAAATGAATTACCACGATGTAAAGGTGGAGGAACCTTGAAATGTAATTCAATAATTCAAATTTAAATTCAAAATATTATTAATATGGATAAATAAGATTGTTTAAGCTTCTTTTTTTTCTCAACAAAAACGAAAGCTAAGCATTAACATCATCATTAGACGTCATAGTGGTGTCTGCTCTAGTGATGTGTCGTCCATGAACGAACGAATCATCTGGGTGAACGAACTGAACTGAATCACTTCCTGAAAAGAGTCGTTCATTTCTCAAATTCAGTTGCGCTCTCCTCTCTCCCGTCTCGTATCTCTCTCTAGTAAGAGTCTCTCAAAGCCCGCCCTCCCTCTCCTTTCATGTCAGTGATACGTACTGACTGAACCAACAGGACGGAGTCGGTCGAGAGCTCTGTGTCTCTAAAGCCCGCCCCTACTTCTCCCTCTCATGTCTCCAAAATTGAGGAAGTAGAAAATATATTATTTAACATTTAGGTGTCGCGAAAATGTATGTGCTTTTCATATCTGCTGTCAGTTTACAAACAGCTTTTATATCCAACTTAATTTCACTCAGCTGACTGTGTTTCAGTCAGGAAAGTGTGTGTGCGCGCGTGTGTGTGTGCGTGTGTGTGCGTGCGTGTGTGACTGAGGCTGGTGACTCGCAGTCTCGCTCCTTCACATTCAGTCAGTGTTTAACTGAACGAGAGCTCCGCCTCCTCTCTCTCTCAGTCAGTCAGTCAGTGATTTGTGTACTGAACGTAATGAACAGAACGGTCGGGGGAAATAAATGTGATTGTTTTAGCAGCTTTCAGTTTGTAAACTGTAACTTTATCCAACTAAATTCTCAGCTCATTGGTTTATTATTCACCACCGGCTGTTCTCAGTACGATCGCGAGCAGAACTAAACGTTCGGCCGTGTTTCAGTTTATTAAATTCTGATTCACAGACAGAGCTGCAGAGAAGTACTGAACGATTCAGTGAACGAATCATTTGAACGAATCACTTTACTGAACTGATTCTACTGATTCAGTACACTGAAAAGAACTGCTTTTCACATCACTAGTCTGCTTAGGTGTAACCGGAAAGGGTTGGGTTAGATTTACATTTAGGTTAAACTTAGTTTCGTTTTCAACACTTGGGTTGGACGTCGTCGCTTCTTCGTGGTTTAGATACTATTTGTGAAATTAAAAGTTGTAAGATACTCAAAACATTCAATATTAGCGTTGACGCGACTTATTATTCTGTTTTTATTACCTGAAGAGAAGATGCAACAACTGCACATGTTGGTTTTTTCTCTCGTCCTGTTTTGGATTTCGCACCCAGTCAACGCGCGTGAGTTTAAATTACTTTATATGTCGTTTTTTTACGATTTGAATCTATATTTCAAATCTATATTGCAATCTTTAATAGTTATGTACAGTCAGAAATGAATAGGCAACCTTGTTATTTACTTATTTACGCATACAACACTTAATTTAAACTGCGTCACTACACGACGATCCAAACACGTCTTGTTTCATTCAAATATATGTACAGCAGTAAAAGGTTAGCTATAATAGTATGAAGTTATTTCAAAAAGTTATTAATCATGTAAATCTCAAGGGAAGTACTTGAATATGTATTTAGAAAGATTCCAGCACTAAATGTTGATACCATTTTGGTTTTAGTCTATTGCGTAATAATAGTCCACGGTCATAATTTACACATTTCTCACTGTGTTGTATATTTCAGGATCAGGACAGAAAATTGGATTGGTATAAGACAGAACAGAATATAAAAGACATTGAAACGTGTAATTTAAAGATAACTTGTGTTTGACGTTGTCTTTTTTTGTTTTGCAGTTGAAACAGTGTATGGTGCAGAAGGTGATGACATTGTCCTCACGCCACCTCTTCAGTCTCCGTCTCCTCCCATCACAAGCATTCAATGGAAACATGGAGAGGACATCATTGCAGAGTGGTATCAAGGGCATGGAAATGAGACAAATTGTCTTAAGTTCAAAGGTAATTTCACTTACACTAAATAAGTTTATCTACACCTGAAAACACAACAAGAACCTTAATCCAAGTGAAGGTTTTTAGGTTTGTTTTGTTTGAAGGTATTTATAATTAGACCCCTACTTTGTGCTGAATGAATGGATGACATTCTATAAAAAGGCTTTCATGGGCAGACCATTAGAATAAGAGGGGGAGATGCATCCATTTAAGTCCATTTTTTAAGTCCAGGTGCTGCTTTCATTTGTTTCCACTTATCACTGGTGTTCATTCATTATGTTTCAAATTATTTTTACTCAGCATGTTTAGCGACCCTAAAGTTTAGTTTTATTTAATGGTTTGATGATTATAGGTCGCTGCAAGCTGAGTCTTTTGACCGGGGCGCTGACAATCACAGGACTGACTAAAACCGACAGTGGAATCTACAACCCTGAGATCAACAACAAATACCTCGACTCAACTCATCTCATCGTCATCTGTGGGTGACTGAACTTTAAATTAATTTTGGTCAGTAAAGAAGTTTTTAGATTTTCAGACTGAGAGCAACAAGGTCTGTTTTCTTTGTTCTTTGTTGTATCAGCTCATGTCCCTAAACCCTCCATCTCCAAATCATGTAACACTGAGATGACCGCCTGTAATCTGACCTGTGAAGGCAACACGATAGAATCAGAACCCGTCGACTGTAAGTGGCTTCTAGATGATGCAGAGGGACCTTCAGGCAAGGTGTTGACCATAACAAAGGTATGAAAAACCAACAACACTCCAGTCAGCCTGAGCCGATGAGTGGGATCACTCCAAATCCATCATTCATGACCTTTTTTTAACTATTCAGTTTTATGTCCTGAAAATCTGTGTTCGTGATTGTCTTTCACTCAATTTCTAGGAGATGAAGGAGCAGAGTTACCGTTGTATATTTGTCAACCCAGTCGGCAACAAAACCAGTGATATCATGACAAACCCCTTACTCAAAGGTGAGCTGCCACACCAACAAATATCAACCTCATTTACACCGTTTATATGGTTTTATAGCTTTTTTTTTTTCCCTCTCATGTCTCCAAAATTGAGGAAGTAGAAAATATATTATTTAACATTTAGGTGTCGCGAAAATGTTTGTGCTTTTTATATCTGCTGTCAGTTTACAAACAGCTTTTATATCCAACTTAATTTCACTCAGCTGACTGTGTTTCAGTCAGGAAAGTGTGTGTGTGTGTGTGTGTGCGTGCGTGCGTGCGTGCGACTGAGGCTGGTGACTCGCAGTCTCGCTCCTTCACATTCAGTCAGTGTTTAACTGAACGAGAGCTCCGCCTCCTCTCTCTCTCAGTCAGTCAGTCAGTGATTTGTGTACTGAACGTAATGAACAGAACGGTCGGGGGAAATAAATGTGATTGTTTTAGCAGCTTTCAGTTTGTAAACTGTAGCTTTATCCAACTAAATTCTCAGCTCATTGGTTTATTATTCACCACCGGCTGTTCTCAGTACGATCGCGAGCAGAACTAAACGTTCGGCCGTGTTTCAGTTTATTAAATTCTGATTCACAGACAGAGCTGCAGAGAAGTACTGAACGATTCAGTGAACGAATCATTTGAACGAATCACTTTTCTGAACTGATTCTACTGATTCAGTACACTGAAAAGAACTGCTTTTCACATCACTAGTCTGCTTGGGTGTAACCGGAAATGGTTGGGTTAGATTTACATTTAGGTTAAACTTAGTTTCGTTTTCAACACTTGGGTTGGACGTCGTCGCTTCTTCGTGGTTTAGATACTATTTGTGAAATTAAAAGTTGTAAGATACTCAAAACATTAAATATTAGCGTTGACGCGACTTATTATTCTGTTTTAATTACCTGAAGAGAAGATGCAACAACTGCACATTTTTTCTCTCTTCCTGTTTTCCTGGATTTCGCGCCCAGTCAACGCGCGTGAGTTTAAATTACTTTATATGTCGTTTTTTTACGATTTTGAATCTATATTTCAAATCTATATTGCAATCTTTAATAGTTATGTACAGTCAGAAATGAATAGGCAACCTTGTTATTTACTTATTTACGCATACAACACTTAATTTAAACTGCGTCACTACACGACGATCCAAACGCGTCTTGTTTCAGTAAAAGGTTAGCTATGAAGTTATTTCAAAAAGTTATTAATCATGTAAACCTCAAGGGAAGTACTTGAATATGTATTTAGAAAGATTCCAGCACTAGTTTTAGTCTATTGCGTAATAATAGTGTTGTATATTTCAGGATCAGGACAGAAAATTGGATTGGTATAAGACAGAACAGAATATAAAAGACATTGAAACGTGTAATTTAAAGATAACTTGTGTTTGACGTTGTCTTTTTTTGTTTTGCAGTTGAAACAGTGTATGGTGCAGAAGGTGATGACATTGTCCTCACGCCACCTCTTCAGTCTCCGTCTCCTCCCATCACAAGCATTCAATGGAAACATGGAGAGGACATCATTGCAGAGTGGTATGAAGTGTATGGAAATGAGACAAATTGTCTTAAGTTCAAAGGTAATTTCACTTACACTAAATAAGTTTATCTACACCTGAAAACACAACAAGAACCTTAATCCAAGTGAAGGTTTTTAGGTTTGTTTTGTTTGAAGGTATTTATAATTAGACCCCTACTTTGTGCTGAATGAATGGATGACATTCTATAAAAAGGCTTTCATGGGCAGACCATTAGAATAAGAGGGGGAGATGCATCCATTTAAGTCCATTTTTTAAGTCCAGGTGCTGCTTTCATTTGTTTCCACTTATCACTGGTGTACATTCATTATGTTTCAAATTATTTTTACTCAGCATGTTTAGCGACCCTAAAGTTTAGTTTTATTTAATGGTTTGATGATTATAGGTCGCTGCAAGCTGAATCTTTTGACCGGGGCGCTGACAATCACAGGACTGACTAAAACCGACAGTGGAATCTGCAAACCTGAGATCAACAACAAATACCTCGACTCAACTCATCTCATCGTCATCTGTGAGTGACTGAACTTTAAATTAATTTTGGTCAGTAAAGAAGTTTTTAGATTTTCAGACTGAGAGCAACAAGGTCTGTTTTCTTTGTTCTTTGTTGTATCAGCTCATGTCCCTAAACCCTCCATCTCCAAATCATGTAACACTGAGATGACCGCCTGTAATCTGACCTGTGAAGGCAACACGATAGAATCAGAACCCGTCGACTGTAAGTGGCTTCTAGATGAAGCAGAGGGACCGTCAGGCAAGGTGTTGACCATAACAAAGGTATGAAAAACCAACAACACTCCAGTCAGCCTGAGCCGATGAGTGGGATCACTCCAAATCCATCATTCATGACCTTTTTTTAACTATTCAGTTTTATGTCCTGAAAATCTGTGTTTGTGATTATCTTTCACTCAATTTCTAGGAGATGAAGGAGCAGAGTTACCGTTGTATATTTGTCAACCCAGTCAACAACAAAACCAGTGATATCATGACAAACCCCTTACTCAAAGGTGAGCTGCCACACCAACAAATATCAACCTCATTTACACCGTTTATATGGTTTTATAGCTTTTTTAAACATCACTCTGCATTATCTAACAGCATACACATACATTTCATGTTTTATTTATTCATTCTTCTTTTTTTAGCAGAAAATGTCCACTTGGTAAGAAACCGCTGGCTAACAGCAGCGGCAGTAGGGGTTCTTGGGTTAATTGGGGTTGCAGCATATCTCATCTACAAATGCAGAACTGGTAAGAAGCCAGATTATATTGTGTGTATTTCAAATATTTTCAGTAATGTTGTATTTCTCTCGTCAGTTATGTGACATCCGTCTTTATTTAAGGAGTTCCAGTGGATTCTTTCTGCTTTCACTTCATAAAATAGGCGGGAAAACGCTTAACAAACATCTTTAGTAATGAATAATGATGGATTTATATTTGTTTATCTTGAATACAGGAACAGAGATAACCAACAAGATATTCAATCTGTTATCCACATGAATCATTCTATTTTCTTCTCAGCTGTGCTCTGTGAAATATAAATATATATATATATCACATACAAACATAGTAGCAGTATACCAGTCTGTGAAGACAGTCGGAATGAGATTTGATCCAATACATGAGGAGATACAAGAAATAAGTCCAAGACGAGTCGACAGTGACACAAAATTCAAAGTCTCCTTTTTAGATCTTTTTATTCTTAGCTTTAAAAAAACATCATTTATACATCATTGTAAAATGCAGATGAACTATTTGTGGTTATTAACTGATGAACTAGGTGATGGTGTTACTACAATACTTTTGACTTATAACAGGATTTCTTTGATGAATTGTTTGAACAGAAGTAAAGTGATATCATGTTCAATGATTCCTTTGTGTTTTATTTGATAGGTTCATATAAATCCGTACCCACCAAGGAAGAAGACAACAACGTTGGTGAGTCAAATGTGAAAGATATTAAAAACTGTGACAGTCGGATCTTTGAACATTTCTACTACTACAACCTGCATTTTGTGAGAGATGTTTTCTTACATTTATTTTGTATTTGTTGTTTCAGAGGTCCATGTACCACCAACCACTCAGGACTCAGATTCTCTCAGCAATGGATCTGGTGTGTAAACGTTGTTTAACAAAATGTATAAGGTTTTAAAACTGTTGTAGAAAGAGACGCATAGGAACAGAAAAGCTTTGTTTATCCTTTAAACTAGAGCTTTGAACTAGAGCTTTCTGTCACGGAGAAATTGTCTTTATCATTTATTTTATTTAAATTGTTTTTAACAGTGATCCCAGAGGAGCAAAGGGCATCCAACGAGCCTTCAGATTCTATTCCGCTCCAAAGTGTCTGCAATGGAGCTGGTGAGTGAAATAATACTATAAAGATAAAGATAAACTTTATTGATCCCCCGTGGGGGAAATTTGTGCATTACAGCAGCTCCAGAAAACAGGAGATGGGAATATACTTATAAAAAATAAAAATAGAAGTTAAAAACAGATCAAACATATTTACATCATTTAAATAAAAAAATACAATAATGTAAAGAAATACAATAATGTACTATAGATAATACTGAATATAAGAACAGTACCTCAGTATATAGTTCAGGTACCTGAACTCTAGTATTTCCTCTAGAGGTTTTTGGGGTTGCAGCATATCTCATTGACAAACGCAGAACTGGTAAGAAGCCAGATTATATTGTGTGTATTTCAAATATTTTCAGTAATGTTGTATTTCTCTCGTCAGTTATGTGACATCCGTCTTTATTTAAGGAGTTCCAGTGGATTCTTTCTGCTTTCACTTCATAAAATAGGCGGGAAAACGCTTAACAAACATCTTTAGTAATGAATAATGATGGATTTATATTTGTTTATCTTGAATACAGGAACAGAGATAACCAACAAGATATTCAATCTGTTATCCACATGAATCATTTTATTTTCTTCTCAGCTGTGCTCTGTGAAATATAAATATATATATATATATATATCACATACAAACATAGTAGCAGTATACCAGTCTGTGAAGACAGTCGGAATGAGATTTGATCCAATACATGAGGAGATACAAGAAATAAGTCCAAGACGAGTCGACAGTGACACAAAATTCAAAGTCTCCTTTTTAGATCTTTTTATTCTTAGCTTTAAAAAAACATCATTTATACATCATTGTAAAATGCAGATGAACTATTTGTGGTTATTAACTGGTGAACTAGGTGATGGTGTTACTACAATACTTTTGACTTGTAACAGGATTTCTTTGATGAATTGTTTGAACAGAAGTAAAGTGATATCATGTTCAATGATTCCTTTGTGATTTATTTGATAGCGAGAGGTTCATATGGATTCGTACCCACCAAGGAAGAAGACAACAACGTTATAGGTGAGTCAAATGTGAAAGATATTAAAAACTGTGACAGTCGGATCTTTGAACATTTCTACTACTACAACCTGCATTTTGTGAGAGATGTTTTCTTACATTTATTTTGTATTTGTTGTTTCAGAGGTCCATGTACCACCAACCACTCAGGACTCAGATTCTCTCTGCAATGGATCTGGTGTGTAAACGTTGTTTAACAAAATGTATAAGGTTTTAAAACTGTTGTAGAAAGAGACGCATAGGAACAGAAAAGCTTTGTTTATCCTTTAAACTAGAGCTTTGAACTAGAGCTTTCTGTCACGGAGAAATTGTCTTTATCATTTATTTTATTTAAATTGTTTTCAACAGTGATCCCAGAGGAGCAAAGGGCATCCAACGAGCCTTCAGATTCTATTCCGCTCCAAAGTATCTGCAATGGAGCTGGTGAGTGAAATAATACTATAAAGATAAAGATAAACTTTATTGATCCCCCGTGGGGGAAATTTGTGCATTACAGCAGCTCCAGAAAACAGGGGATGGGAATATACTTATAAAAAATAAAAATAGAAGTTAAAAACAGATCAAACATATTTACATCATTTAAATAAAAAAATACAATAATGTACTATAGATAATACTGAATATAAGAACAGTACCTCAGTATATAGTTCAGGTACCTGAACTCTAGTATTTCCTCTAGAGGTTCTTGGGGTTGCAGCATATCTCATTGACAAACGCAGAACTGGTAAGAAGCCAGATTATATTGTGTGTATTTCAAATATTTTCAGTAATGTTGTATTTCTCTCATCAGTTATGTGACATCCGTCTTTATTTAAGGAGTTCCAGTGGATTCTTTCTGCTTTCACTTCATAAAATAGGCGGGAAAACGCTTAACAAACATCTTTAGTAATGAATAATGATGGATTTATATTTGTTTATCTTGAATACAGGAACAGAGATAACCAACAAGATATTCAATCTGTTATCCACATGAATCATTTATTTTCTTCTCAGCTGTGCTCTGTGAAATATAAATATATATATATATATATCACATACAAACATAGTAGCAGTATACCAGTCTGTGAAGACAGTCGGAATGAGATTTGATCCAATACATGAGGAGATACAAGAAATAAGTCCAAGACGAGTCGACAGTGACACAAAATTCAAAGTCTCCTTTTTAGATCTTTTTATTCTTAGCTTTAAAAAAACATCATTTATACATCATTGTAAAATGCAGATGAACTATTTGTGGTTATTAACTGGTGAACTAGGTGATGGTGTTACTACAATACTTTTGACTTATAACAGGATTTCTTTGATGAATTGTTGAACAGAAGTAAAGTGATATCATGTTCAATGATTCCTTTGTGTTTATTTGATAGGTTCATATAAATCCGTACCCACCAAGGAAGAAGACAACAACGTTATAGGTGAGTCAAATGTGAAAGATATTAAAAACTGTGACAGTCGGATCTTTGAACATTTCTACTACTACAACCTGCATTTTGTGAGAGATGTTTTCTTACATTTATTTTGTATTTGTTGTTTCAGAGGTCCATGTACCACCAACCACTCAGGACTCAGATTCTCTCTGCAATGGATCTGGTGTGTAAACGTTGTTTAACAAATGTATAAGGTTTTAAAAACTGTTGTAGAAAGAGACGCATAGGAACAGAAAAGCTTTGTTTATCCTTTAAACTAGAGCTTTGAACTAGAGCTTTCTGTCACAGAGAAATTGTCTTTATCATTTATTTTATTTAAATTGTTTTTAACAGTGATCCAGAGGAGCAAAGGGCATCCAACGAGCCTTCAGATTCTATTCCGCTCCAAAGTATCTGCAATGGAGCTGGTGAGTGAAATAATACTATAGATAATACTGAATATAAGAACAGTACCTCAGATATATTTCAGGTACCTGAACTCTAGTATTTCCTCTAGAGCTACAGTTACTCCTCACACGTATTTTGATTTTGTCTCAACTCAAAGGAAGGCATCAGAGATTTCATCCAACAATGACCTGACGACTTCTACATCCCCAGAGGCCGGCAAGGAAGCTGGTGAGATAAATCACATCTAATAGGATAAAACACTGTCTTGATATTGTATCCATATAAAATGAACATGTTTTATGTTGTATCAGATATCACATCGGAGATGGGTCCAGAATCCCCCCAGGATTCAATCACTCCAGAGACCGGCAAGGAAACTGGTGTGTTAAACTGTATTTTAACTTATAGGATCAAACGAGTCAAACCATTTCTCCCTTAAAATTCAAATACTTCTATGTATCAATGAACAGAGATCACATCTGATGTGGTTGAGAAGTCTGACGAGAACTCAACGACTCCTGCTTCCCCGCCAGCAGCCAGGAAACAGGCGAGTCCAATTTAAACACACTCCATGTCCGATCAACATACTATTTTTCTTTACTCTTATCTTAGGGTATATTTTAAGATTATGTTTGTATTATATCAAATTGTTCCCCACTTAATTAATTTAGTTTTGCAACAAAACACTTGATTCCATTTTTATAGACTTCAGCACAGAAA